AAGTGTGGCTCTGGCGCCAGCACCACTCTCCTCCCACTTGGAGGGGAAGCTGAAGGTCACCCATCAGCCTGTGATGTCCCACTGTTCTGGGAACATAGCTGAACAGAATCCTTCGCTTTGGGAAGACCTGCCCAGGAAATCACAGTGCTACCCAGTCTTCCATGCCTGCTAGCTGTGCCAGGCAAAGTTGCCATCATGGTGACACTTTATTTGTGCTGAAATGTGATTTAATTTGTATGTTAACAAATAAAGTTGCCTGGGGGTCAGAGCTAATAGCAAGCTGTAGCAGAAGTCTGGCAGTGGTAGCACATGCCCTTAATCTGATCACATGACAGGCAGAGTCTGTGTGTTCAAGGACACAGTCAGTTTGGAGACCCATGCCTTTAATCTCAATACCAACCATAGAGACCTGGAGGTCTGTATAGACAGACAGTGACGAGGAGGCCATGCTGTTGGGTTTACAACCAATGAGAAGACAGAATAGAAAGTCAATAAAAATACAGACACACAGGAAGTAGGTCTCTTTCTCAGGAGGACGGCAGTGGCAGCGGGTGGTAAGAAGGTGGTCTTGGTTTCAGCTCTTGGCTACTGCTCTCGGACCTCTGGGGCTTTTAACTCTGCATTTGGCTCTGTGTTTCTTGTTTAATAAAACCATTCAGAATTACATCTACATGCCATTTGCCATTTCTCCCGTGGACTGGGCTGGCCCTTACTGGGGACGGAGGTCAGACAGATCAGGAGACAGCTTTGAACTCACCGTGGAGGCTGTATGTCTGTCCCAGTGCTGTTGTTGACAATGGGGTCTTGAGCCCTTGGAGGGCAGGGCTGTGATGTGTTTTTAGTAACTGATAGATCTCTGCTGTGTGGCAGATGCTCATTATTGAATGATCAGATGGATTCATTTCCTGTTATACAGATTCCTGTTCAAGCTTTCCCTTAAAGCTTTATTTTGTTAGACCAACTATTGACAAGATGTCACATACCACTCTTCCATTGTCCCAGAAGAAAAGTCCTTGGCTTCAGCTAAGTGGACCTAACTCTACTGATTTGGAAACTTTAGTGAGCAACTGGGGTACAGAAAGTATAATAGAATAATTCCATGGAGACCCCAGGTTCGGTCAGCATTTTCTTGGGATTTCTGAGTGACCCATGAGTTTACGATGAATTTCTCATTTGCTTTAGTTGAGGCCAGAGAGGTTTGTTTTCCCTGTTGCTGTTTTTGATTTTGCACAGACCCAAAGAATCTTGACTAATGCCAGTGTTTCTCTTTTATTCTTAGACATTCTAAAAACATGACGGTTTCAATGGCTGCGTGTATTATTCACTTGTTTGTGTGATTGCTGGTTTGTGTTTCTTGGTAATGGTGTAACTACTTCCCATCACTTTCTCCTTACAGTGCTGATATTTCCCCCAAGCAACACGCTGAGAAAAATGGCAGGAAAAGAGAAGCTAGATTAATTTTCCTCCACAAAGCATGGCTGCTTTCCAGCTCCTTAGCAGAACCCTTCCACTGGCCTCTTCCGTCTCATTGCTTATTCATTCATTCTTTCCTTAAATTGTAATGAGTTCTCACTATTGGAGGATGCTATAGATTGTTGCGGGTAGGAATAGCAAACAGTTTTCATCATAGCAATCATCTTTGATTGGTAGGGGTAATGTCAACAGTGCATCTAGACTCAGTGGGAAAAGTGTGTTGGCATCTATTAGCTGGGTCTGACACGGCCCTGGAAGACAGAAATTTGTATATACATACAATGCATTTGTCACTCGTGGTACAACTTCCTAATATGAACAATCTCTAGTCTATGATCTTGCTCTGAGACAGATCTTGCTCTGAGACAGTTTCTGCTGACTCAGATTTGTTCAAACAGCTCATTTCATAACTGTATTTCATCATCAATTGGAAAGTTCTTTCCCAGTGATGTAGTGCAGTGTGAGGGGATGAACTGATTTAGAGAACCAATTTTAGAACTAATTTTTACCTTGCCTTGACTAATTACATCTTTTTGGCTTCAGCTTTCCACCTAAGAAGTGGAACCCAGTAACCACAAACCTGCCTCCTCGCTGTGATATCCTATTTTTCACATGGGTCAACATCGGCATCTTGGTAACATGCTCTGCTGACCCTGGTTATACAGTCTGGGCTTAGGTTAAAACTTTTCAAATATTTGTATATCTGCATCCATCTGAGGTTTTTGTTTGTTTGTTTCAAACCAAACACAACCAGTTTCTTCAGTCATTTCTCATAGGATAAGGGCATCTAGACTTCTCTCCATTCTGGCCATTCTCTTCTGGGCACTCAAAGTTTATTGTATCTCCCTAGAAGTATGACTCCTGGAATGGGAGCCGGGCCAGCTGTGCAGTCGAATAGCCCTACTCATACGGTCAGCCTGCCGCTCCTGACCATTGGTTGTCTCCAACACATAGCCCAAAGGCGAGACAGCAACCGACACTTCCACAGACCTAGGGAGGTGGTATTCTGGAGTTTTACGGACTTTCCTTTCAGGCTGCATGCAGAACGGCTACAGGGAGCCGATGGGTCAATAAGGAGGTTGTATTCTGGAGTTTTATGGACTTTTCTTCCAGGCTGCATGCAGAACGGCTACAGGGAGCCGATGGGTCAAGCCCGGAAGGGACAGCTGTTTCCCTGAGAGATCAGCAAGAGCTGGTTAACACAGGTACTGTGTCATAAACGTGGAAGGAAGACCTGGTGGGGATGCCATTCTCCCCACCCCCTCCCTCTTTAAAGCACTGAGTATTTATATCTCCACGGAGGAAATGAAGCTCTCTTCGAACTGGTTCTTGTGCTACACTCTCCCCCATCCTCTCATGTTAGTTTTGGGATACAGCGTCTCGCTCTGTAGCCCAGGCTGCCTTGGTACTCCCCAGATAGCCTAGGCTGACCTTAAAGTCACAGCAATTCTGCTTCAGCCTTTCCAGGGCTAGGATTACAAGTGTAAGCTACCATGCTCAGCTAAATTCTAATATTCTGTCACTTGACCTCGTGGTCCCAGCAGATCTCACGTTTATCCTTTATAAAAAAAAAAAAAGAATAGGCTCAAATGCTATCACTGAAGATAAAGAAGAGGAGAACAAGGAAGAGAAAAGGCAGTCTGGAGAGGGTTCTGGTCTGAGCACGCACATGCTAGATACATCCCCCAAAGAGACTGACACCTTGACTCTCTGGGGCCCCCTCTGCCACCCAGGCTCCAAGGAAAAGAGGCTCTTGCTCTTTAGACCCTGAAGTCCTCCATGAGGTGGCCCCAGGCCTTATCTCTGGACCTTTCCCTTCTCTGATTTCTCCCTTGTTTGGATCCAGCCACCTGGTCTCTTTTGGCTGTGAACTGTGCTTCCACTTAAGGGCTTTGCTGTTCTGTGCTGACAGCACTCATCTGTCAGTGCATGATGACATCTTAGTTTCGATGAGTCCTCTCCTTCCATCCTTCCTTCTTTCCTTCCTTCCTTCCTTCCTTCCTTCCTTCCTTCCTTCCTTCCTTCCTTCTTTCCTTCCTTCTCTCCCTCCATCTTTTCCCCCCTCCCCCCCTTCTTCCCTTCTGCTTTTCTTCACTCCTTCCTTCCTCCCTCCCTTCCTTTCTTTTTTTGTGGATCTGGAGATTGAACCCAGAGCCTCATGCATGCCAGGAAGCACTCTCCCACTGACCTATATTCCCCATCCCATCTTTTTGCATTTTGTTTTGAGACAAGTTTCTGACTAAACCAGCCAGGCTAGCCTTGAACTTATTCTGTAGTCCAGGCAGGCCTTGAATTACCATCCTCCCACCTCAGCCTTCCAAGTAGCCAGGTCTCTAAGCTTGAACCACAAAGCCAGCCTGCCTTATCCTTTAAATGGAACCTCTCAGCATCTACCATAAGTAGCCAGGTCTCTAAGATTGAACCACAAAGCCAGCCTGCCTTATCCTTTAAACGGAACCTCTCAGCATCTACCATATACTTATCGATTTATTTATATGCCATTGAACATGGACTCTACAAAGGCAAAGGCTTTGCTCATCCGAAACTGATTCCTCAGGGCCTCAGAGAGTTCTCAGCATATGCTGAATGCTCGGTTCATACTTGGGATGGTGTAACTTTTGAAGCATCTTTCCCAATGTCTCTTAGAATAAGACTGGTCTCCCACGAGCACTTTGTGTTTTCCAGAGTTAGGATAATAAGTCTACTAGTTGACAAGTGAGTCATTGGGGATGGGAGCAGCAGTGTGTTTGAGCAGCATGTCCTGTTCCAAGTGGCCCTGGTACAGCTCCCTGCAAATCCACTGTCTGCACAAGGTAGATAAAAACCACCTCACAAAGATGAGACCTGTGCTTGGATTTGAGGTGAGGCTGTGGAGATAAAGGGAGGGAAGGTGGGGGACAGTGTGTGTTTTATCACCCCAGAACCGCCATGGCTCATCCCTAGAGCCTGGGCTTCCCTTTTCACGTTGTTTCATAGACAGGCTGGTTTTCCAGGAGTTGGTGAGAAGATGCCTGTAAGTGGCAGGGGAGGGCAGCACAAGCTGCCAGGCCGTGTGGGCACGTGCACTCTGCATGTGGAAGTTGGAGGAAAGGGGAGTGAAGAAAGGTGAGGGCAGGCGAATGAAAGAATTTGATAAAGCCAGGAACCTCTGAGAAAGGCCAGCGAGAGGGGATCCAGGGTAAGTGGACAGGAGGTGTGTAATGTGAGCACACCGGCCAGTGGATGGTGCCCATTATTTGTCCCAGGTGAAGTGGCTGTCTCGGCAGTGGGGAGAAGAGGGAAGGTGCCAGGGCGGGACTGACTTCCTGGGTGGAGAGACTGAAGCCACCCAGGCAACATATTCAAAATGATCTCTGCTTCCTCCGTGCCTCCTTCCTCTCCATTATCAAGGTCTGGGCGGGGCCCCAGGATAAAACCCATTCCATTTGGATGAGAATAAGCATGGACCTTAGTAGCTGCTCCTTCACCAGGATAAATTTAACTCAGTAAGTGCTTTGTTTTCCCAAACAGCAATAGACAGCCTAGACTTTTTCAAGACAGAATCATTCAATGGCAGGATACATTTTCCAGGGATGGCCATAACAGTATCCTCTACGGTGTGTGTCACAGCAACCTTGACCATCCTACAGTTGAGTGGTAGGGACTTGGCTCTCCCCTTGAACTTAGGTGGGTCTCCTCACACTTGCATCTGAAAATGAATGTGGCCGATTCTGAAGTGTCTCACCATCCTTCCCCTCCACAGTTTTCCTCCCATGTAGCTTCTCACGGCTCTTCCTTCTCCCAGTTTCAGGAGGACAGACTCACCCTGAACTTAGAGGCTTCTCTTGCCGTTGTGCAAGGCTTTCCTGTTGGCTGGGTCAAACTCTCTGGGTTTTGTTTGTTTGTTTTTCCTTTCTGGCAACTGTGTAGAATGTACAGAGAGACCCCCAAATACCACCCCAGATCACGCAGAAGGCATGAGAGTAGTCAATGGGGATGAAGATGTCTATTAATAGGGTGCTACCAGAAAAATGGCTTCCATCCCAAGATGGCATGTCAGCTATCCTTCGTCACCCATAACCTCAGTTTACCTTTGAGGGGCCTTGAACTCAGATGGCCAAAGTCCTTCATGCCAGAAAAGAAAAGCCCTCCCTTCCCTCCACCTTTCCTTATTCTGTAACTTTTCTTATGGTAACATCTTTTTTTTTTTTTTTTTTTTTGGTTTTTTCGAGACAGGGTTTCTCTGTGTAGCTTTGCGCCTTTCCTGGGACTCACTTGGTAGCCCAGGCTGGCCTCGAACTCACAGAGATCCACCTGGCTCTGCCTCCCGAGTGCTGGGATTAAAGGCGTGCGCCACCACCGCCCGGCTTATGGTAACATCTTGAACACAAGGATCTCAGACTCCAGGGGCTGGGCTTGGAGCTGGCAGTGGTTAGCTCAAATGTCTGGTATCTCTTAGGGCCCAGGACCTGGCCTGGAGGCTGTCTCTTGATAGTTAAATAATTCCCTCTATACAGTAGTATAGAAGGACAATGTCTCTGTGGATCCTAGAGAATGTCCAGTGCTCTTGAGGAAGCACCCTCTTAGTCCACCTTGCCTGGAGGGTGACGGCTTCCTTGGCTGTTCTCTAGCGGCAGACAGGAGACTTGTGGAAGTTCTGAGGATCCTGGAAGTTTCCGGGTGTGGAGCATCATGTGGCTGGGAAGGGCGTCTGGTCATGATCCAAGCACCAGTTTATGTTGTCCCTCACGGCGGCGTATCTTACACGAGGGGATTCTCTGTCTCTGGAACCACCCTGTCAGTGACAGCATCCTTCCTTTTCCTTTTCCCTGGGGAGGAGACCAGAAGGTTGGAGTCTCAGCATATTTGGCCCCAGGCTCTGAACACTGGATATTCTGAACCCAATCACCCCTTCTTGTTTTCTAAAGCCATGGAAAAGGAGATGTCTGTTAAGAGCGGGATATTCTTCTTAACGTCTACATGCCTTCTGCACCCATACCATGAGTTAGGGCTGTGTGGTGCCTGCCTGGTTAAATGACAAGAATGTGTGTGGCAGGGCTCAGACCAGCCCCTGGACACATTGTGTGGAGATTTTACATCATCCCAGGCGGCCACAGCTGTTCTTTTATGAGCCTTTAAGATGTTAGGTTACGTGAAAGGAGGTTATCGCAAAGAACCACATGATGGGATTCCATTCACATGAACTGTCCCGACTAGATAAGGAGAGTAGATGCGTGGTTGCCTAGGACTCGGGAAAGCACAGGGGAGTTGAGGAGTGTTGACTAAGTGGTTATAGTCTTCTTTTGGGGGAAGTGATAGAAATATTCTAAAATTGCTTGTGGGTGGGAGGTAAAGCTCTGGATTAACTTAAAGCCATTAAATTGTACACCTTAACTAGGTGAATTGTACAATGGATGATTTATAGTTCAATAAAATAGTTTTTTTTAAAAACAGCTCTTTTCTTGGTTTCTACCTTCTTACTACAAATCTTGGGGGGCCAGGGGTATGGGACAGACCCTCTTCCTAACAGACAGGACCCCTAAATGGAGTACAGTGTAAGCTGTCCACCTCAACTTTCCTGTCCCTTGAGAAAAATACACAAATACCTGTCACTCCTGGAGCTAATGCCTAGTCACAGAGTAAGACCCTGGTTTTCCAGGACACAACTAATGTCGTAAGGGCAGGGAGCTCAGCAGGAAAACAGTCATGAAGCCTGTGACATCTGCGATGCTCCTTCAGGGGCAAGGTACAGGGCATCTGGGCAGGGATAATTATCTGTGTGTAGAGCCTAGAGCCTGATCTGACCAGGTTTTCTTCATCACTCTTCTGTAGAAGTTGGTCTTGTGGCCATTGGCCAGAGGTGGGGGGTGGGGCTTCTCTTGGGGACTTCCTTTCTTAAGAATGGTTGGCAAGAAGTGAGTAGGGTTCATCAATACTTTTCCTCAATAACTATTCACCAATGCTGTTCCTGTTTTAGGAGCCATGATGCTTGAGGGACCCACTGGGTGTGTCCCATCATGACCCAACCTTTGCTTTTGTGTGGCTGGCTCAGAAGGCAGCAGGAGCAGACAGGTCATTAGTCCTCGGGATGGAGTAAGCAAAGGCGATTAAAGGAAGGATGTTAATCAGACTGAAGGTAGGCATGGAGAGGGGGAGGTAGGGAAGGCTTCCGGGAACACACTCACCTTCAAGACTCAGCAAGAGAGGGCCAGACAGAAAGGGAAAAATCACAGAAAGTGTGCCCTAGGCAGAGAGACTATAATGTGCACAGGCCTGCGGGGAACCTGAGAGAGCAGCTCATTTAAAGAATCACAGAAGGAAAATCAAATTGTTCAGTCTGGTTGGAGACCAAAGTGTGAGGGGAGGGCCAAGATATGAGACAGGAGATGCAAAGGGGCAGGCCTCTGAATCTAAGTGGGAGGAGTCTAGCCCCATCTTCTTCCCGGCATTCCCACCCACTTCCCCCATGTTCTGTGCTTGTAAGACTCCTCCTACCTGAGCAGGGGCCATGGTGCCATGCCCCAAAGAGACCAGCTAGAATCAGGAACACTGAGATTGGCACTACCACCAGCAGCACATCCTTGTAGGAGGCCTTCCCAGAGGCTGTAATGTGGAGGGTAGAGTCAGAGATGGGTTTGATGCACCAAAATCCCCAAACCATTGCTTACGGGTCCTTGGCCTACCTGCTTCATGATGGCAGCTCTCCCAGGGAGTGACTGTGGCCGTATCCCAGCTGACAGGGTTGGAGGCAATGCAGGTGTAGGCCACATCTTTGTCGCCCAGTCCCAGCGAGACACTTAACACCTGTCCATTTGAGAAAAGGCTGTGCGGTTCCACGTCAACGCCCATCAGCCTCTCCCGTCGCCAGCTATAGGTTATGTCACTGATGTTGGGGGCCCAGCAGGACAAGAAGACCTGGCAGGTACTGGGGGGTTGAACCTCTTCCGTCGCAGCAGTGAACACTTGAACCACGGGCTTGGGCACCGTATCTGTGTGAGAGCAGCAGAGCAGAGTGGCTTACGGGGCTGCTGGGCGGAGTCCACAGCTCTGTGTCTGGGTTCTATGCATGCTTCCATGCCTCTTTGGCTCTCCCATCTCATTTATCTCCCTGTTGCCGATTCTTTAGCTTGGTATCCAAAGCTTTTATGAAATGATTCGTGCCAACCCCTTCAGCTACACTCTCGGCGGGTCTTCCTCACCTAGTCCACGGGTTTGCAGTTCTCCTAAACATGAGGCACTGTTTCATACATTTCAGGCTTTTATGTGGCTCATCTGTGCACATAAATGCTCCCTGCCTCCTCTAAAGAAGGTCTTAGGTGCCGGGCGGTGGTGGCGCATGCCTTTAATCTCAGCACTGGGGAGGCAGAGGCAGGCGGGCGGATCTCTGTGAGTTCGAGGCCAGCCTGGTCTCCAAAGCGAGTTCCAGGAAAGGCGCAAAGCTACACAGAGAAACCCTGTCTCGAAAAACAAAGAAGGTCTTAGGCTATACTGTGGCTTGTCCTCATACTCACAATCCTCCCGTTTCCACTGTCAGAATGCTGCAGTCACAGGGGTGTGCCACCATGCCTGGTCCTATTCTTTCCCTTCTTGCCCACCTAGGGACCCCCTATGCATCCTTTAAGACACCCTCTTCCCGCCCCTGCCCTGTCAGACACACTGCTTTTTATGCCTTGACTGTGACACCTTCCCCGATAGTTCAGGTAGGACTCAGAGTTCTCCAGGCACCCCGTTCGTGTCTTTTTGAAGCCCTCCATTCACAGTGTGCCAGTCAGTCAACAAGGGATGACAAGTATTTATTAGTTCAGGTAAGAACACACATCCCGCCGCACTTGGGGATCCTACAGTTTAGTGTAAGGAGACAGACACTGACACGTGATGATGATGAACAAGAAAATAATCATAAGGGCAGCGAATGAGGAACCTGGAGGGGTGGGGGGTGGGGGGCTCTGTCATCGCTGTAACCTTAGCGCTCTAGCGCTGGCAAATTGGTGTTTGATACCTGGGCTGCTAACAAATTAGTGTCCTGGCATCCTAAGCAGCAGCTCCTCATTCCTGTACAGATTGATGAGTAAATCCCACGTCTCTAGCAATGGGGCCAGTGGGAGAGCATTATGGTGGCCACAGGAGGGCCGAGTCTCTGACAGCATTCCAAAGTCAAGCAGAGTCAAACCTCGTTAATGCCAGCTCAATCTGGTGGGATTTGTGATATGAAAAAAGAAATGATTTGCTGGGCATACTAATAGTATAAACAGAGATTACAGGGGGGATATTTACACCACTTAAGAGGACAAGCTGCCTCCAAACACGATCAGGCGCAGTAGAAACACCCATCGACATTTCTGGTAACCGATCCGCTAATTCAAATCATTCTTATCTATTGTCAGAGCCGAGCTCCTAAGGACGGCTGCTTGGCAGCTTCCTGCAATTAGTTCTAATCACGCTATGTATTTGGAAGCAATAAAACAGCAATTTCCTTAAAATCTGTAATTCAGATACTGAGAACAAGGCATTTTAGGGCTTAGTGGTGTGGGTGCCGCCTGCATTACCACACTCAATGTCCTTGTTTTACGTGTGCAGCAGCCGAGACGTGGAGGAGAGGCTCCCAGGGCCTGGGTGGCTGTGGAGGTCATTCCCTGCACAGGGGCACTGGGGTGGGGGCGCTACACAGTGCTGAAGCCCAGCCAGCATTCTGCCTGCTGAGATGGACAACTTGCTGCAGGCCCTCATGCTTCTAGAAGTGCACCCTCTAACTGTACATCAGCATCCTGAACGGCTCACCCAAGGGCAGGTAAAAGCTGTCTCTGGGGCTTTGAGAATCCTTCCCAGTTTGCTTCCGGCCCCTCTCTCTCCTGCTTCCTCTTTCCAGCCTCTATCCCCACTTTCCATTCTTAAATCTGGACTCTCTGCAACCTTCTACATTTTTTGAGTTTTCACTGAAATGCTGGTGTGGGGCCACACACATTTTGGTCTCAAGACATTAGGTAGATGAGGTGAATGGGAGTGTTATAAAGGCGCAGAGCAGCAGAAATGAATGGAGATAGTGGAGGAGAGAGACAGAGAGGAAGGAGGGAGGGAGAGTGAGAGGGAGGGAGAGAGGGGGGGAGAGGGAGGGAGAGAGAGGGAGGGAGGGAGAGAGAAACTGAGAGAGAGCAAGCTCATTCTGTCCTCACCCTATCCTTAGCCAATTCATCCACTCCAGCTGCAGGGATAAATGCAGCTGCACACGATGCTGGTATTGTGGAGCAAAGCCCACCCCATGGACCCTAAGGAATAAAATAAAAATAGTGACTATTTTTTAACTCCTAAGTAACGCAGCTCGGGTTAGCCTTGAACCCACAGCAATCCTCCTGCCTCAGATGCCCAAGTGCTAGGATTAGAGGCATGAGTTACCCACCCAACTAAAAGATCTTTTAGGAAAAACAAGGCTGTGGCGGGTGTGGTCCAGATCCCTGGTATACAGTTGGTTCTTAATATGTACAAGTCCTAGGTTGGATCTTTGGTGCTAACTTTAGACCAACAGAAATAAAAAAAAAGAAGAAAGAAAACAACAAAACCTCCACAAAACAAAACAACAAAACCCCTATAAAAACACACAAAAACCCCCAAACAAAACAGAGATATAGAACAAAAATCCTATAATAATTATAATTCAAGTTGAATTTAACTTGTCAGTAAAAACTAATTATGTCATATGCCACATTTTTCCTTTGCCTTTTTTTTGTGGTAAATAAAATAATAGAACCACCGGTAAGCTTTGATGATACCTTAGAGGGGATCAACAGTCCACTTTGCCCTACACACCACTGTGCTCTCATCCTGATGGGGATTGTACACAGTAGGTGTTATAAGGCTCACTGTACGAATGAGGAAAGAGGCAACGGTCTGGTGGGTGAGCATCCTGTCCCAGCCTGCTGAGCCAAGGAAAGAACGAAAGGAGTACAGATGAGGCTGGTGGGCTGGTGAAGCCAGCTGCTTCATGAGGTGCTCACCTGGGAAGTGTGTGGGAAGCGGTTTTTAGATGTGACTTCTGGGGAGCCGCTTTTCTCTGACTTAGCCACATGGCCAAAGGCCGTACCTTTCTGGGACCCAGCCCTCCCCAGCTCCCCTGGCTCCAGATGCTTGCCTGGTAGTTTTCAGGAGGCGAGTCAGGGAACCAGTGTTGGGCACACTTACCGTACACCTTGAGATGCAGGGTCTGGGTCCAGGTTTGACCCGCGGTGTCCACCATCAGCACGGAGAAGTTGCCGCTGTCTCCAGTTTTCAGGGGCCCAAGCTCCAGGCTGAGGTTGCCATGTAGCTGGACTCGGCCCAGGAACCGGGAGTGGTACAGCGTCTCCAAGGAACCCCGGAAAAACGTGGCCAGGAGCTCCTCTGACGGCCAGAGAGATCGCCAGATGGCCTCGCGCACTTGGAAGCCAGGAGGGCACTCTGCCGCCAGCAACACGGAGTCCCCCACCTTGCTGAGCACTTGGACGCCGCCGATAACCACGATGGGAAGGAGGACTGTAAGGACAGAAACCGCGGTGAATCTGCCTGTGTGGGCGTCTAGTCCTACTCCTGGCAAACAGCTGAGTTGCTCAGAATTGAGTTAGGGCCCCTCCGCCACCCAGCAGCTGCACTGAGTTGAGGGTGTTGCAGTAGTAGTAGAGTGTGTCATGGCTGGGGAAACAAAACAGGAAGAGAATCTGGTCTCTGTTCATGGAGAAACCAGACCTCAAGCCAGCCACTAAAATAAATGAAGTTATCATGATGAGAAAAAAAAGTGGCTGAACGCCAGGTAGGTTAATAGGGGTCCTCACCTAGCCTGGAGCAGCCTCAGAGAAGATACAACTCAAAGGAAGACTAGGAAGCAGCCAGTCAAGCAGGGGCTACTCCAGTAGGGGTGGAGAGGAGAAACAGGCTGAGGGACAGGAGGAGGACAAGGGAGAGAGCATGGGGAAATGAGAGGGATTCAGGAGGGGAAGTGGGCAGTGCACCAAGAGTTGGCGGGATCACGCTGTATCACAAAGCAGCATTGGTTTCTCGGCTTCTAATCCTTAGAAGCAGGGTGTGTGTGTGTGTGTGTGTGTGTGTGTGTGTGTGTGTGTGTGTGTGTGTGTGTGTGTTGTCTCACGTAGGTTTTAAATGAGAAAGCAACGCGATGAAGTGCAGGCCTAAGGTGGCCATGGCAGGAAGCATGGAGAATGCATTGGAGGTGGGGGAAGGCGGAGGCCGTCTATATTAATGCAAGAGAGAGGTGATGGAAACTTGAATAAAGGAAGGGAACCACGCGGATGGGGAGAAATGAGACAGAGAGATTAATAGTGTAATTAACAAACTCTGGGATTAGATTAGGTCCGGAGAGGGAAGGAGAGAACTCAGAGTCTGCCCAGGTCTTTGGGATCCATTACATATCATTATTGTGATCTGAAACAAGGACAGAGACAGATGACAGCAAGGTGCTGCGTTTTTTTGAGGACTGTTTTGAGTTTGAAATATGAGGAAGACAATCCTTCTTGAACTCCCCTCTTGACTCCTTTTCTGCCTTGTTCATGCTTCCTCTGGAAGTATCACCATCACCTCTAACCTCTGCCATCTCTGGCTGCGCATAGACACTCTTTCTGTTTTCCCACAGTGATCAGGGATCAGCACCCCTATCCCATTATTGTCTATTTCTGAATCAGCGTCTCCCACCAGGCTGTGAACTCTTTCAGGTCAAGAGCAAATGTCTTCATCTGTACTTGCAGTGCCCCAGTTTAATACCAGACTTCAGAAGCTCAGGAAATCGCACCGAGTTTGCCGAGGACTGGCCCCGAGCCTGGCATAGAAGGAGGCTTTGGGATGCAGGGCAGGGTGAGGGCTGATGTGTCATGTATCCAAGTGCTGCGAGTTGGGATAAGGAGACCCGTTCTGGATGGCCGCTCTGCTGGCCACAACCCTAGCCTTTATCCACATCCTCGCCCTCCCTGGGCCCAGCCGTCTCCATCCTGTCGGGACACAGCTTCAGTGTTAACTGGAGATGTCAGTCCAGACTGAGGTTCTCCCATGCCCTGGCTCTCCACAAATCATCTGTGTGACCTTCGCCCTCTCACCTTCCTCCCCTAAGTAAGACGGGGAGGCTGTCTCCGAGCTGTTGGACCATTCTCTGTGGCCAGTAAGAACATCTCTAAAAACAATTGAAGGTCTGAAGAGGCAGTGAGCTCTTGTTTAGTTCTTATGAGTCCCCAAAGGATACAACAGTATCTTGGGGTCTGTGAACTCCATCCTGGCCCTGCAGCGGCTGACCTTGTCACGTTGGCTACTTGTTGATGGAAGATTGATGAAGGGGCCACTGAGAGTTTGGAGACTATTTCCAAGCCCACAGGGACCATGTTTAACCTTCTGTTACCTCTCCTCTGTACCAGTGTCCATCTCCCTTTGTACAGGACACAGAGAGGGACCCTAGCATTCCTACAGGCTGCCGAAAACATCCCTCAGAGCATAGGGAACCTTGCTCTGCATTACCCTCCCCTCCTTTTCCTAGACTGTAGGATCCCCATGTGTCAGTATTGACAGAATCCCCATCATCCCTGAACCCAACCTTCTCTCAAAGCCGCCATCATTTTAAGCCACTCCGGTCCCTAGAGTAGATGGTGTCTCCTGCACTCAGACGCCACTAGTGCCGCCACCCGCTACCCCATTTCCTCCAAGACCCAACTTTAGGTTGCCCCAGAGGTTGCTTCAACTCTTCACTTCTCCTTAGCTCCTTACTTGGTTTTGGGAGGCAGCTGCCTAGAGGTCTGGTGAGGGCAGCCAGGGAGGGGCTTTCAGATCCCCGAGGACAGGCTGTCTGTCCATCTGCTCCACTTACCTTCGCAGAGAAGAAGACCCCAGAGGGACCACATGGCGGACGTCCTCCTTCGGAAGGAAGATTCCCTCAACAGACCAGGACATCCCAGGCCAAATGAGTGCACGGAAGGAGCTGTGGTCCTGCTGGAAAGTCCCATGTTCAGAAGGAGGAATCTTGACTCAAAACGAGATGTCTGGAAAGTGAAAGCATCCCGAATAAAGTGGAAGTTGGCTGCAGGCCGGGCTGGGCCTCGCTGGGCTTTCAGGAGCTGCTGATTCTTGTAAGTCAGCCTCTTTCCCATGCACGTGGCTTGCCAAAGCATGGTGACAAGCACACCCACACGGCCCATGGGCTCCTTGCAGATGGTCACCAGACCTCTCTGCTTCCAACCCTGCCCATGGCTGTGCCTAATCATCATCACTGCCCACAGAGAATCCTCTGAGCTACAGTTCCGATCATCACTTCCCCTCTGCTTAAAACCCTTTGAAAGCCTTCCGCTGCTGGTTGGATAAAGACTAAACACTGAGCTTAGCATGTGAGGCTCCTCAACTTCTCCAGGCTGGCTGTCCACATCCCCATTCCTCTCGGGCCATCCCAGCCGGATCACCTCTCTTTAGAACCACCCATTTGACATTTGCACACATTGTATCGGCTTCCCAAGCAGGGGTCCTCTTCCATCTACCCTGGCAGATCCCCGCCAGCTCTGTACCCAGCCAGGCTGTCCTTCAAGGCTTCCTGACTACAAACAGAGTGGCAAGCCTTTGTACCCATGTGCACTTACCCTTCCCTTATGCCCTTGACATGTTGCTGGCCATAGCTTCATAGTTTCTGCAGGCTGTTTAACAGCAACACTTGTATTTGTTTCTATGCTGGACTTGCTTATTATTTAATAAATAACAATGGCTGAGAGACATGGTTACCCCTTTTGCTTTTATGTAAGGCTGAGGACCCTTCTCAGAGCTGAGCTTCTTGTAGCCCTGGTGAACGAATTTAAAGCCAATGTAATGTTAGGCAGCTTGCTGGTGTCACAGAGGGACAGAGCACAGGTCTCTTCTGTCACAGTTTCTTTCTCCTCACTCTTATTCTCTGTCTTTAGTTATTTAGCTGCTTCTTCTGCTCCTCCTCCTCTTTCTCCTCCACTTCCTCCTCCTCCTCTCCTCCTGCTCCTCCTTCTTTCCTCGGTACTAGGGATGGAAGGGAAGGCCCCTGGAATGTTCTACCACCGAGTACTATCCCTAGCAGGGAAGTTTTCTTAAGATGCTGCCCTTGAGAAAGATTCCTAAATATCCCGAGTGAGGATCCTTGTTTGTTGCCCTGCATAGTCTCTAGCTTCTCAGTCAAATGGGTCTCAGGCTTTGGTATCACTGAATCAGAAATTAGACATATGGGATGGTGAGCAGGAGAGGCTGGAGAGAGAGTCCCTGCCGGTAGAAACAGACGCGCCAGGAGGAGTGGAGGCTGCTGGCACACAGGCATTTCCCTAGACAAATGAGCCACGCCGGCAGTCAGCATTGAATGAGGGGCAGGGGAAGGTGTCTGTGGATCCGGGCAGGGATTGTTTCCCGAGCAGGCAGACTTTGAGCATGAATTAGATGGGAAGAGACAAAGGATGCCAGCGGTTCTGACGGGCCTTCAACACACACAGAGAGAATTGAGTGGGTCAAGAGTCTGTAGTGTGAAAGTGAAAGCAGGCTCCAGGAACCATGAGGGGGCAGTCAGGGGCCATCTTTGGAAGGCGAAATGGCAAGAGAGGAAGGGGGGATTGGAGTCTGATTACGCACGTTGAACACTGGGTTCAGATATTCTGGAGAGCCGTGGCTCTCCTTGTTAAATGCTTGAGTTCCCAGGGATGCTGACTTAGTGGGCGGGGACGGGCCCAGGAATCTTAGTCCTAATAAACACAGTACTGGGTGAGCATTGTCACCGATGGACTGAAGGAACACCATAAGAAGCCCTGCTTGGAGGCAGGGGGCTGCATTTGTGCAGAGCAGGCTGGGAGAGGAAGATGAAGGGAGTCCGAGAATCAGGAGGGGCTGAACGAGGAAGGGAATGTCTGAAGGAGAATAGGCGGTCTGCTGAACAGTTCCCAGTGGAACCTGGAAGTTTCTGGCCGTCGGACAGAGAAGCCAAGGGAGGGGACTCATTCATGGCTCTCTTGTCAATTCTGTCATCTATTCATCAAGCATTTATTGAGCATCTATTTAGGTGCCAGGTGCTGGGGACACAGAGATGAAAGGCTTAGCCCCTGCCCTTAAGGAGTCCGAAGTTTAGAGGAGGAGATGGGATGCGTAACCCATTAATTACAATCAATGTAACAAGAACAATGCCAGAAGTGTGCACAGGATGCTGTGGGAGCTGGAGGGCAAAGGCCTGGCCTGGCCTGGGTGGGTGGAAGGCTCGGGGGAGGGGGCATTGGTTGAAGGATGGGTGTTTGAGTGAGTCTTAGAGTACAAGCCGGAAGCGGGTAGTGGTTTTGAAAGCAATCTCTAGAGTTAGACTTGCACCCAAGTGTGGCCATGAGGCCGCGAGAAAAGTAACTTCCGTGCTTCGGTGTGCTCACCGGAGGGATGGGGATCAGTAACTGGGTCTCCCTCTTAGTGTTGACAGTGAGCACCCGCCAGGGTTCACCACGGTCCACAGTGAGGTTCAGGTGCTAACCAGGCCTGCAAGTGGCCAGAGTCAGGAGACAGACGGCTGCAGAGGGAGAGTAGAGGCCTCGTTCTCATCTAGACTGGAAGCTCCGTGGTGATGGCACAGAGCAGAGCTCTTTCACTTTTTCCGTCTCCTGGGCTGCCCAGTGCAGGCTTCCCGTGAGGTGATGATGACCTGAAAGCGTGGTCAGATTGTGCGGGGGTGATTCTGCAGTGCGCAAGACCAAGACGAGCGAGCGTGGTTTGCAGGATGCAGAAGTAGGGCAAAGTGGGCCAGAGCTTAATTCCTTTGGAGGACACAGTTGGTTGTCCCCAGGGGTCCCCCCATACTCCTCCCGGTCAGCTGACAGGGAGAAGGGGGAGAGTGGGTAAGGCTTGGAAAGTATCCTCCAAAATAACCTCCCCAAAGGGGAGAACTTCCCTTCTGCTATGTGACGGTGGAGAAAGGCAGACTGAAGAACGACGACGTGCTTCATCCCAGGTGCAAGGAAGGGTTAAGGTCTCGAGGCAGGCAGGTTCTCCCTAGAAATGCGGCTAATCACTGGTTCACACCACATTAATTACCCAGCCACAGGGGGGAGTGTGCTAGAGTAAATTAGCAGGTGAGTTCAAAGGGGCCACTCCCTGCATTCCTTAATTAAGAGAGCAGCTGGCAGCCAGGGCTGCTACTCCTGTCTCCCTGGGGCCTTTCTGAGAAGCTGGAGTCAGGAGGCGTCTGCGCATGCCGAGGATGGAGAAGTAGCTTCATCTGCCCCGTGGTGCAGCCGGGGCCTCACCATTAGCCCATTTCTACCACTGGCTATGGGAAGGGGGAGCAGGTGGCCAAGTGACCTGCCTGAACAGAACCAACAACCCAGGGCTGCTTGGTGTAGAGACGGAGGCTGGCTGGGAGGGATTGGGTGAGAGTGAGCCAAGTTGTGTTTGAAATGCTTTGTCTGCAAGGCCAGCATGGGGCCATGCTTCTTCCACAGGGAGATGTGAGAAGGTTGAGAGAAGGCAAGAAGGCGGGGTGCAATTGGGGGAGAGGGGGAGCCAGGCAGGGAGGCTAAGGCAGAGTGGCTGTGGAGGAGGGAGCGGCATTCAGCAGGCTCCCAGGGAACCCAGGGTGAAGGGAGATGACCAGGGGGTTACTGGGTGATGGTGTAGCTGAGGGCAGGCAGCACTCTACTGCTCCTCCAAACTTTCAGGACTGAGATCCTGACCAGACCAAACCAGAATGGAGCTATTCTTACTTAGGCCAGTTTCTTAAAAACAAGAAACTGTTTAATCAGTTAATCGGAAGGAGACTAGTTTACGTTTATGGAGTCTCATGTGTTACAGGCTGGCCTTGACCTCATTGATAATAAAGGATGACCTTGAACTTCTGACCCTCCTGTCTCCACCCGCCCTGAATGTTGAGATTACAGGCATGCCCCGCCACTTCCAGTTTATGGGGTACTGGGGGGTTGAATCATAGGCTTTGCGCATGCTAGGCAAACACTCTGCTGAGTTATAGCCCCAGCACAGTTTCAGTCCTATCAGGACTATAACTTTTGAAATGTCTGGTTGGCTTTCTGTTCCTTGTGATCTGCTTTCTCTGGCCCTTTCTGCCGCGCAAGGCCGGCTCGGCTCCGCTCCTCAGGCACCTTTACTCCTTTACTAGTCTTCTGGGTGGGTGGGTTGCTGCTCTATGAATTGCTAATAAATCATTTAACCAGGTTTGAAGTTTTTGTTTTCCATACCTTGTAAGCCACACCTGTGAGACCTCTCAGCAGATGACATGCCACCGGGCCCCAGCGGCCCCTCCCTAGCCAGCCTTCTTGGGCAGCTGTGGTAGGGCAGGAAGGCTGGCCTGAGGCAGAATGCACTGAGCACCCTGGGAAAGCACTACTTCCGCCAATTCCTAGCAATACCCACTGCCACTGTTTCTGCATGAGCGCAGTGTGTATACCTTACTGGTCGCCCCTGAGATGGTGCTGGCACGGGCTCCTTCGATTCTGTCACATTCAGCTTTCCCGCCTCACCCCGTTGTAAAGAGGTAGAAGGGACGGAGTCTTTCGTGAGGCAGGGGCATGTAGCTGAAAGTTTTTCTGTGTCCCGCCTGGTCCTGCGGTACTGCAGCTGCTTATAAAATAACCACACAGAGGCTTATGTTAATTAAAACTGCTTGGCCACTAGCTCAGGCTAACTACTGACTAGCTCTTACACTTAAACTCAGCCCATTTCTGTTCATCTGTACGTCTCCACGTGTTCCGTGGCTTTACCTGGGTGTCATTACATGCTGCTCCCTGGACGGCAGGCTGGCGTCTCCTGACTCGGCCTTCCTCTTTCCAGAATTCTCGTCTCTTATCCTACCTATATGTCTTGCCTGGCTACTGGCCAATCAGCATTGTATTTATCAACCGACCAGAGCAACACACATTCACAGCATACAGAAAGACGCCCACAGCTCTTCTCCCTTTTTTTGTCTAATCA